AACTAACCTGCAAAGCATGTATATCATAGACAACTAAACTGGTTGGACCACCCCTTGATATAGGAACACTCGACAGCATTCTAGCCAAGGTATATGCGGTTGCAACATCCCCTTCCTCTTCCATTCTTTCAAATGAGCCAGTTGGAAAGAAAGGCAACACCAAAGTAAATGAGGCAGTGAACAGCCTTGGAAGTGCATAAATTACAGAAAGCTGTTCAAATATGACGGCAGGTGAGCTGAAAGATGCTAGAAAGGCAACATGTTGTCCTCGGATATCTTGTGCATTGTTAATGAAAAGATTTGGAAACCCATCATCAAAACTCCTGTTATATACAACAATCCTCATCATCAGACAAATTATCAACATCAATAATCATTGCACGCAGTCTACAATTCTCTTAACAAAATAATTGAGATAAGATAAGCATAGATGACAGAGAATTGCCACTAAAATGTGAGTTAAAAGGATTGAGAGGAAAGATAAGGGAATCAATTGTTATTAAATCCAATAATCATATCTTAGTCAATGTAAAAGCAACCAGACTTTAGTCAATTACGCTTCACAACAAACATTGTTTCAATATACTTAAAGAAATTGGTGCTCACCATGATCTTTTCCGAACAGCAAACTATGAAAATTTAACTTAAAAGAAAATCATATATTACTATTATATTTCGTTCCTCGGTAATCTACACATCTCCTTGAATATACAGCACAAGTACTCCAGCACATAGCAGTATGCATAAACAAGCTGGTCCCTCTTTCACGGACCAGAAAAAAAAAGAAGCAATTATCTTCTCCTAAAAAAGGGGGAAATGGGATTTGAGTTTGACTTCGTAATCTACAAACTTCTTGGGAGAAAAGTACAAACGGAATACATAAAGAACCGCAAGTAAAATTCAGAAAATCAAATGTATGTTTCCATACAAGTGAAGTAAGCAAATTTCAAGAATGACTTAAAACAATACACGAAGCAAAAAAGGCCCGCCTTATGGGATGAAAAGAGAAAGGACTGCAAACACACAAACACTAAAACAGACATTTATACATATAATTTGAAGGGGTCACCTCCAGTTAATTGATTGTAACTGAATGAGGTCCGACTGAGCAGCGACTTTGCGTGCCAATTCTTCAGCTTCGACGCAGTGGAAAAGCAGGACTTGCTTCTTCTTTGGCTTCTCCATCTCTCTCTACCTTCTCCGTGTACTCAATTCAATTCTCAAAGTGCTGCGAATTTTTAGGGTCTTTCTGTAGCAAGACCCACGCCAAGCCTGGGCCTTTCACTCTTTTTTCTTTTTTAAAAGGGCGAATTTTCTTAAAAGGTTTTCTCGTCTGGTTAAAAATGAGAGAATAGTCTTGTTTCCCATTTTATTAGTCCATATTCATTATTCAATGCCAGTCTGGATCCATTTTAGCCCGTTTGGTACACATTAAAATTTTCATTTTCATTCTTCTACTCATTTTTAACCACACATTGTTCAATAAAATAATATTTTTCATCACATCAATAATTTTTCATTCCTTTTTAACCACACATTCTCTATCAATCTATTATTCCAGAATACATTCTTCCAAAATAATGTGGCTCAGTATGACGTATCTTTATCAAATAAATCCCGATTTAATTTTGTTGCAAGAAAGAGTCAGAAAAAGTACCCACTTTGCTCGATCCCATTTCGTAAAATCCATTTTTTCTTATAGAATTTTTGGTATTTATATTTTTTTATTTACTTTTCATTTGTATATTTTATCATTTTTATTAAAATTTGATTTTTATCGAAGGCAAATGGGGACCTCTTTAAGAAAAATTGTAGCAACGGTATCGAATCTTTCTATTTTAAGTAGATTTTGTCTAAACCTCCATTTTGTTGCACCTATGGTGTCAAACCTTCAAAAACTCGCACTTGGAGTTCAAATGAATGATATCTATTAATTTGACTGTTAGTTGACTTAAAAAATTGATTTTGACCAATTTTAAAGGGACAAAATGGCAACTTTGAATTAAACAAAAAAGGCAACCCACCCCCACCTAAAAATAAAATAAAAAGAAGGTACTTGTCATCCCTTCATCGCCCCTACACCACACCCTAAATTAACCCACCACAAATTCAATACCTCCTTCCAAGTCAATGTAATCTACGATGTTAATAATCGAGCTACAATCGGGCAGCATTTCAACTCTCACAAAGCAAGGGGTGGCCCACTTGGGCCACTAGCGGATCACATTGGATGGAAGAACAATATTTTGGTAGTCTATTGCAATTGATGGAACCACCCCGGTCGCTACTTTAGGGATCGAATTATAAGGCAATTGAGCAGTAGTTGGATCAATTAATCATGTACCCACAGCCGTTTCAATATGAATATGAGTTCTTGTTGGTGAATTTGTGGATTGAACAATGAGAAAACCAGAATTGTATATAAGAGTCCATGTTCGCACATGTTTGAATGCGAAATCCCAGAAAATTCATTGATGTTTTGACCCAATTTTGTTGAATCATCACCATCATATTGAGTGCATGTGGTGTAAGAGTCAACCGATGGTGGTCCGAGAGGGTGAGTGTGGCCGTAAGTTGGGTTTCCACCACCGTAGATCACATTGACTTGGAAACTTTTGATGGGAGTAAAATAATTTTTTGGTTGGTTTGATATTGATTTTGTTATTTGGGATGACGAAATTTATGATAAGATGACGAGTTTTGTGGTGGAGGCAGCAAGTGACGAGACGACGGTGACTGTGGTGGTCGAGGGTTAATTTGGAGGGTAGTGTGAAGGAGATGGTGAATGGTACTTTTTTTGGGTGGGGCTGGGGTTGGGCTTTTTTATTTTTATTTTTTTGTTTTTTGTTTTATTTTAATATAAATTACAATTTTGCCCTTTTAAAATTGGTCAAAATCAATTTCTTAAACCGCGTCCATTTGGACTCTAGGTGCGAGTTTTTGAAAGGTTCGATGAGTACATCAGAATGAAGATTTAGACAAAATTTGCTTAAAATCGAAAACGTTTGTACGGTGCCTGCAATTTGCCCTTTATTTTATTATGACTATTTAAATTTTAAAACCTCTAAACTACCTTGTGGTAACTTGATACTATACTATCAGACAGCTTTATTATTGCATTCCATGCAGAGAAAAAAATTTACCAGTCTCTATCGCCTCTCACGTCAGCAGCTACAGGGACACAATTTGCTTGTGAGTTATCCAAAACCCAATTATCTCGTCTGAGTCATCACTTTCTGGATTTGAAGTTACACAACTTCTCTCTACTTCTGGTAAGTTCCGGGGCTCTGATCAGCAACCCCCGCCCCCTCACCCCAACTACCCCCCACGAAGGAAAATTTAATGAGAAGAAATACTGGAATTTTGGGTAGTATAAAACAAGAACATCCGAATTTATATTTCGATGTTTTTAACCACTTTATGTATCTCTCTTTCACGTAGAGGCAGAGGCATGTAATTGTCTTTTTTTTTTTTTTATGGGGTTGGCACTTGGCAGGCTAATTGCTTTCCAAATTATATTCTTTGATGATTTTTAAGTTCAGATTTATCATATCATCAATATATGTTAATCTTGTATTCCTGATTTTTGTGGTCTAGTGTATATTAGGAACCTCCTTGTTAACATGTATAAAAGTTGATCAAAAGTGATATCTAGTTACAGTGTGGATTCCTAACATTTTGGGCTGTGTCTTCACTTGGGATTAATGTTATTTTGCATATTCAGCGCGGTTATTTTTCTCTTCTGTTCAATTACAGAAATCAACTAGCTTTGGATATTTTAAACACAGATTACTCTGATTTTGTCAATTTGTAGAGTTGCATTGTCTTTTATCGGTTTGTTTTTGGAATTGGAGATGATGTGTTACTTGGAGAATTAAGGAGGTTGGAAGAGCACATCTATGGTTTTGTGTGATTGACGGTGTCTTATAAGATTGAACTGAGAATTCTATAGAATTAAAATCAAATCAGCTATTGTAGTCTTTAATGACACTGACACCATCTACAAAAATGAAAGTATTTGAGTATTTATGCAATGACAATTTTATGATGGATCAGGATAAATCTATGAGAGGTAGAATAAGAGATGAGCACATATGTGAGTGGTTATGATAGCATTCATTGAAGAAATTTTTCCCAGACTAGATTGAAATGGTTTGGCAAATTCAAAGATGGCCGCTGGACACAGCAGTTAAGAAGATTGATAGAATGGGTATTGATGGTACACCTAGAGGAAGAGGTCCGCCTAAACTCCTATGGAATATGATAGTTTAAACTTTAAAGGATTTGATTGGTAGCTTAATTTTGAAAATGGAACTTGATTGAGCAGAATAGTAGATGAAGACCTGCATATGTTTATTTTTGTCGAAAATTGCCTATAAGAAATATACTCTGTTTTGTAACATGGTGCAAATGATCTTGAATACCTTTTTCCTGTAACAGCATATGTGCATGACTACAAACATAAATGATGCAACTGAATTAATCAATATCCGTAATATGGAGCTGTACATAAGTTGGGGGACCAGATTGTGCTTAAAGAAGAGCTTTAAATTGAATATTTGACTATGATTTTAATATAATCAACATGTCCTAAAAGTAAATATTTAATGTAGGAGGCGAGGTCCTAAGACCTGATATGTTATATAGATATGTGAAGACAAAAACATTCTGTTTTTCTTTTGCTCCAATGCTTAGCAAGTCCATTTGTGCAAAAGTTTGCTAATTTTGTGCTGTATATGGTGAAGTGAAAGGGTAAGAAGGACTAGATTTGCACAACTATGTTTTTCTTCCTCATACATTCTGAGTTTAATTGGGAGCGTTTTTTATTCCTTGTTTCCAGCTCCATTATAGTTAATGCCTTGGGGCTTTCAGGTAAGCCTTCTTACTCCTTACTGTTTAAAGGAAGAGCAATGAGCTTTGCAACTAAGAATTATCCCCGATAAAGGAGCAATTATATGATGAAAGGAGAGAATAAAAAACATCAAGTTTTCAGAGATGTCATGCTGGGTGGCGAGTTATGGACAGATGGGCTAATTTGTGCTTTTGAATTTATCCGAGGCTGTAGGAATACCTGCGGTTCAAGGTCTAAGTTAGATATACAGTCTTCACAACCAAATATTGTTACGACACTAAAGAAGACCGTATCTAAATGCGAAACAACTGATTGTTTGCCCCAATTCAGTGAAAGCAATTTCAAAGAACCATCTCTCATAGAATCAGGAGCCACTGACAGCGACATGCTGAATGGCGATTTTTATTATCAGAATTACCATTTAGGCTGCTTTCACCCTCTGGAAAGATCTCCTGGCAATTGCTGGATACCTATAGGCTGGGACAGAATTTCTGACCTCCTTCAGAAGGTTCAGGTCAATGCTGTTTGGGACTTGCAACATTTTGACTTCACAGATGAGGAAGATGACATGACTGTTGCAGATGTTGCAGCTCCATATCGGGAACACCCCACAGGACCAACTTGGTGGTGTCATGTGGATGCATGTCATCCATTTATCAGTACATGGCTGAGCAATGCTCAGTGGTTACACCCTGCAATAAGCATAGCCTTAAGAGATGAAAGTAAGCTGATCAGTGAGCGTATGAAGCACCTCTTATATGAGGTACTGATTATAATGTGTTTGATGGCTACTATTTGACTTTAAAATGGAATTTTTTTTACCTAGATAGAACTGGGACTTCGTCACCATTGGAAGTGGATTCAGAACTTTCTTTTCGCGTGCAGTATTGTTTGTTTGAAAACATTCCCCTTTTTCATTTTTGAAGAGGTCAGTGATGGGAGTTAGAAAGGGGTGGCAAGAGTATTAGGGTTTTGAAAGATGGTAACAAGATACAAGTTTATACTGTGTTATGCTGTAAATTAGAAAGTGCCACAGATGGAATTGAAGCATGGGAAAACGGGTTGTCCTCTGAGAATTAAGTCAGATAGGAACGTTGGTATGTTGGTTATTCTTGGTTGAAAATGTACACTTCGAATTGTTGATCAATCTTCAGAGATGACTTAGAACCAATAGTTCATTATCTAATGGATCTTTCCGTTCTAATACTCTATGCGAGAGTTATCAGTATTTATCAAATCTGTTCCTATCTAATGGAACGCTGTGGGATCAAATGACAAAGATATTGTTGAGAAAAAAGATGGCTTTTCTCGGATGAAATGAAAATTGGATTCATGTTGCAGGAGAATTCTTCAATCTTCTTAGTTTTTGAAAATCTTTATTAAAATAATTTGTATATCGATTGACATAGGCAGGGTTATGTCTTCATAATGGTGCATGCATCCTTTGGCCTCAAATGTTACCTGACAATGTCCTGTATTTACGTACTTAGAAGTATTTGTCATGTTAGAAATATTAGATTTTTAGGAGAGGAGAGCTTAGGAAGATTCCCCACTCCCCACAGTTTTTTGAGATGAAAGGAGAAAAGATGCGAACATTTATGTTGTTGAAGACAGGAGAACAGTAGTATTGATGGAAAGTCCAAAGCTTATGAATAACGCTGAATAATTTACAAAAAATATGTTAATAGGTTAGTAACCAGGATAAAGAGTTTAGGGAGCAAGAAAAGATCTAGCAGAATTTATCTTCTCCTTATTTGTTTCTATTGTGGAGTGAGGTGGGGGGTTTATATAGAGCAGAGGATGTTGCATTTTCGATCTCCTTTTAGAGTCCTGCGCTTGTGTGCTCTAGAGGAAATTTATTTTTGGCCATTGCACGAGCTATTATTATGTTGGTTATGGTGAATACCAAAATATGCACCTTCCACTAGGCTGCTGACTATAATCCTCAAGAACTCTGCCTTTGACCAGATTTTCTGGAAAAATAGAAGAGCTCATTTCTTTTGTTTGTTTTCAACAAATAGATGCCTGTTAGAAGAGAATTGCATTTGTGAACAGGTTCCGGTGAGGGTTGCTGGTGGACTATTGTTTGAGCTATTAGGCCAGTCAGTGGGTGATCCTGTTGTTGAAGATGATATCCCTGTCGTTATACGATCTTGGCAAGCACAAAACTTTTTGTTGACAGCATTGCATACTAAAGGGTCGTCATCAAACATTAATGTGTTAGGTGTCTCAGAAGTTCAGGTTGGTCAATTATTAGATACAGTGTAGCTACAAACATACTTCTTTTGTTTTTAATAAATCAATGAGTTAAATGTTCAAATTTGCTTTACTTCATTTTTTGATGTAGTAATTAACGTTCTGTTCGAATCAGGAACTGCTTGCTGCTGGGGGTAGTAATCTACCACGGACAAGTCATGAAGTTATAGCCCTTCTAGCTTGTCGCCTTGCGCGCTGGGATGATAGGTGAGATATTTTCTCTATTGTCTTTGCTTGTTTTAACTAATTATGATGGTCTGTTTATGCTGGACCTAAGATGGAGCATCTCTAAATCTTCAAATAAATGAGAAATTTCATTTAGCTTAAGTTTCCCATGTTTAGTGGGACAGAGGCGTAGTTTGTTGTCGCTAGTTTAAAATTGCTCAAAATCAAGCTACCTATGTCCTCAGAAAAGATCAAAAAACTTTCTTCTAAATTCTTCTTCATGTTGAAGAAGTTATGCTGTCTGATATTCTTTCATTGTTGACCTCATTGAAAGCATATTTACTGACAAGTGAACGTTGTGTGGCATTGGTCAGAATATTTTTTTCATGTACCTGCTTATTTCATGCTTATGTAGAGAAGACATCTTTCTATGAGTTTATGATGAGCTTTCTTGAGAATGTATCACTGTCATTGTACTCTTCTGTGGAGACATTATAATTTGAGTTGTCAATTCACTAACTATTGGAAAATTCTGGGTCCTTGAAGATCTTCACTTGATCAGAAATCCTTTTGGTACCTTCTCCAGATTTATCTTATTGTTTGTAATGTCGATGAAATTTATGTATGCCCCTTTCATCTATGTGCTTTTATGAGTAGAGAGGGAGATGTTGGAAGGCAAGGAGGTAGGGAAGTGATATGCAGCTCTTATGAAGACTGAGGATAGAGATCCTGATAAAATGCCAAAAGTTGAGATAGAATTTCTTTATCAAATTTATCTCATAAAGTTTGTGGAATTTAACTCCGAGCAATTGTTAACAACCCATATCAATTTTACTGAAGTTGGTTGAGTTAAGTATGAATACTAGGGGTCATGCTGTGATAAAATGATTTGATGGTGATGATTTAGTTCAAACCTTTACAGCTTGCTGGTTATTTTTAATGCACTTTTCATCTCATTCCTTACTTCAGCAGCAGTAGCAGCATACAGCACTTCTTTCGTAGAGGACTTTTTCCTCCTTTTCCTTGAATTATTACTTGCCTTGTCTTGTATTTTAGTTATATTCTATTCCTTTGTCTGCAAGTAGTTTCCTTTGTCAAGATGCCTTAGCTGCAATGCATCAGTTAGTAAGTGAAAATCTTGTGCTGGAGCTCCAACTTATGAACTGTGTCTATCCTTGAAATCCATACAGTTAATTGTTTTTATCTGTTTATTAATATACTCTATACATAATGTTCCCAGGTTGTTTCGCAAATACATATTTGGGGCGGCAGATGAAATCGAGTTGAAGTTTATGGACAGGTGACTTTTCCCTTTCTAGACTATGCCATTTTAAATAGAAAATTTCCACATTACTGTGCTCAATTTTGTCAACTTACTAATCATTGTAAAAGTGTTCTTGATTTTCTGTAGGAGAACTCACGAGGACATGCATTTGTTTGGTATTATTTTGAACCATGAAATTAGAAGTCTATCAACCCAGGTAAACTTTTATGGTTGCTTGAAAAGTAAATTTCCGGGTGAGGAAACACTGATTTCTTTGGATTCTATGAAATTGCTTCTTTTTCCTTTCCCATTTCTGATGGTCATGGATGAATCCATTAATTTCAGGAACAGATATCTTCTTTGACACTGTGAAGCAGATTGGGATAATTAATCTGTTGATAAAAAAATTGGAAGATTATCAGAGAACTAATATTGATCATACACTACATTGATGATTTTGAAAGTCTGACACTGAAGGGTGGTCACTAAAGTTTAGTTATGGTTAGTTTGATCACATTATGAAAAGAAGAAAATGAAAAATAACTGATTGATTACCACTTGCAACAGAGATGCACTATCAGATACTGACTTCTTCAAGGTTTCCAACATTTGGGATCTTCATGAATTGCACAAAAACAAAAATAAATAATTGGATAAAGAGATTTCTCATGTGATTTAGTGTATGCGAGTTGTTTCAATATCATTTGTAAGTTCAACTATATTCTGCATTGTTCTTACTGATTGATTGCAGTAATAACAACTTAAACTTCTACAAAGCTTATATATATTTACCATTAAAAATCTTTAACCTTTCATTAGAAATCTTACAAATTGGAATTATTTGTCTCTGTGATGCTAATAACCTTCTTTTAGCTTTTAGCTCGGTTGTTTTGTATTTTTGAACTTTATTTCTGACAAAGAATTCGACCATCTCCCTAGTTTTTTTGTTATTATTATTATTACTTTTATTTAAACAACTTCTTTTTTCAATATCACGTGATGATTCTTTTTTAACAGAATACTTCTCATGCTACAATGTAAAAACAAATTGATGCTGACCTTTTTTCTTACAGGTTATAAGAGTGAAATGGTCTTTACATGCAAGGGAGGAGATCGTTTTTGAACTTCTGCAACATGTAAGGGGGAACGCAGCAAGGAACTTGCTTGAAGGAATAAGAAAGAGTACAAGGGCTATGATTCAAGAGCAAGAAGCAGTTCGTGGTCGCTTGTTCACAATACAAGATGTCATGCAGAGTGCTGTTCGTGCATGTTTACAGGTGCCATAAACTTCTCTGTACTCAAAGTAAAGAAGACAGTTTCTTGTGAAAGATATAGATGATATTGTTAACAATGTTGAGTAGACAAGTAACAAGGTTTACTTGTTGGTTGTTTATTCCACAGTCTAGATAAAAAATTTATAAGGTGATGGAACAAAAGGTAATTTCCTGAATCCCTGGTCATTTTCGTATAACCTTTCCACGATGGTGCAGAAGATTAATGCACTTGTTTAGCTGCCAGGACGAGCAGTTGTATTGTTATGTTTTAGAGTATCTAAATATAGCTCCACGTTGAACTGTTTAGAGAAGAATTGACTGTTTAGCAATATGGCTGCCCTGTATGGTTTAGAGAATGATTCAACTGATCACCTGGAAAAGGTATCAGAAAATGGATGTACTGGTAGTTTCACATGAATCAGAAATGTACCTCGTAGTTATGAGTCCTAGCTTTATTACATCTAACTTTATAGCAGACCCTTTACGGCCATTATTGCAAAAATATCCTTTTGCTCCTCAAGCTTGAGATGGTAAAGTTCATTTTATACTCTAAACTCTAAAGTGCTACACAAATATTGATTCTAATATAGTCATTGAAATTTTGGAAGGAGGTGTTATTGTACTTCACGTACTATATACCTAGAATGTACTTGCTCTTATAAACATATTCTTATAGGTGGTCAAAGAAAAGTACACAAATGTAACTATGCCAATTAAAGTGATCCACACTGACCGAAATACCCATGTTTCGAAAATTTCAAATCGCACCTTATATTCAACATTCTGTAACACTTCATGTTTCATAATTTGGGTACTTAAAATGTTGAACATGCCAAAAGATTATAAAAGGTTACTGCAGATTTCTTTAAACCTCTATTGCACAAATTATTATCATTCATCTTAACCAAAACCTAACTCTATTAATCATTATAGAAAACTATCAAAATGGAAGTGTTCTGTTGGAATTATCGCATTTCATATTCTCAAATTCAGAGTTTTAGAAGTGTGTTTTTAGTCAAATACCTCTTAGACTTTGTGTCTGTGTTTAGTGTAGTTGTGTAGATCCACGAGTCTTTCTGCATTTTCTATGTATTGACACCTGTATAAGTAGGACGGGGAGATCCAGATTTCGTTATGCAAATGAACTAAGCAATATTTTTAGATAATAAATCTTCTTTAGATCTCTAATATAGCAACTCATTTAATTAAAACCTTCGAACATAACTCAAATTACAACTAAATGATTAACAATGATAGTCACATCCATTAGCTACCAAGATACATTAATTAAAAAATGATGTCGTCATTCAACTAAAATTTGCTTTAAAAAAACTCTTTAGCATTTGTTGTTATTCTATAATGTAGATTTTGAATATGAAATTTGTTACCTCACATTGAGTAGCCCTCTGCCTGGAGTATGTTATGTGAAGTGTTATACCTTTTTATACATTACGTGTCCTGTCTATTGTCCCCGTTCATTTATATGGTTAGGGTATTAGTCATTTTGTAATTTCCGTTCATAGAGACTTTTGTTTGTTGATTATAGTCTGGAAATTGTAATTTCCAGATATATATAATGTGAAGTCTAATATTACCCTTTAAGTTGAGTTTTTTAAACTTCCAATTTGTAATGTATTAGATGGGTGAATCGTGCATGAAAGGTAATTCTGGTTACTGTTGTGTGTTTCAAAATACTTCGTATGCCCAAATCAGGATTTTTTTAGAATGCCATAATGAGAATATTAACGTAGGGTCAATATTAGAAATGATACATTGATATATTTGTTATTTATGAGAATTGAGAACCAAGAAGTTAAGTGATTTGAGGGCAGACTAAGAGATTTATTATAGATGTACAAAGCTCATGTTAGGTTCCATGAGAAGGCGTGTTACATCCAAGATGAAAATACTAGAAAAAATAGGGAAGGCAGAAACAAGCATGGATTGAACTGTGAGAAAAATAAGAGTGATGCAGAAAATCAGCTTGAGTGAAACTAATGTGTAAGGTTTTTCCAGCTAAGATATAGTAATTGAGATTATATGGTTAAAATGAATTTTCATGTTAGATGTCTATCAGTTTCATTCTCCTTGTTGAATTTGTAGCTGAGTTCTGTATTTTTACATTAGTATTCAGTACAAGGACTTATATACAAGGATGAGGTTAGGACTTCATGACACGAGTTTATTTAGTCGATATCACCCTTTAACCATGTATTGAATCTTTAGATCTCTTGTTTTCTCACGTGGGCTTCCCACGTTTAGAGTCCTTTGGGCTTTTTTTGTTTCTTTTTTCACATTTGTACGGGAGGTAGAGGTTATGCTCCCTTTCATTGTATTCATTTATTTCCCTAATTCCCTCTGTCCTGTCTTGATGGAGCCTAAAAACACACCAGGACCGTGATGGTGCTTAATTAAAAAAAAAAAAAGATCTCTTGTTTTCTCTGGATACAAAGAGCTAAGTCTTGCTGCTTGATGATCAGTGTGAGAAATGCAAGATTCTGTTTGGCCCACGTCATAAACTCCATAGTATACTCAGGCTTGGGAGCCTGGTGGATGCATGCAGTTTTACATAACTTTGGTTCTCCTATATGTTGGTCAAGCCCTTGGTTAGCATATCTGAAGGGTAGTGGGTCTTTAACTCCATCGGGATTTGAACTGAGCAGGATGCTGTGACTGCAAAAGAGATGCAGTTTTGGAGAGTGTGTTTGATGCCAGTGATGGGCTTGTGTCATAGTTACTCGAAAAATTGCAAGTTTTGAGGAGTTTAACACCCAAGGACCATATTTTATTTTTCAATACAGATTAAGGTTCCAATAAGCATATCAGGCATTTGGTCTCTGTTCAATTTAAATACTCAAATTCATTAATCATCAGTACCTTATGCTACATTTGTTGATAAGGTGGAAGTTTGGAATGGTGAAAAATGATGGAAGATTCACAAAAGGCACGAACTTACCTGGCACATGATAAAAATTTTCAATTGCACACGTTCATGCATATAGAATTTGCACTTAAAGAGAGTGGATAGGTTGCTGCTCCAACCTTTAATTCTATGCCCGTGTATATATTTTACCCTGCAATATTTATTCTTCACCAAAACGTGTAATTGTTACGACTTCTCTTGAACTAAATTATCGGTTCCCTGTGGCAACACGCATAAAGGGTAACTACCACGGCTCCCATTGAGCCATGAGCATATGAACACCCACATCTCGACTCCTTTATGATCTGGATTATTTTATACTGAAAGAATGATTATCTTTGTTTATCCATGATGTTTACTGCATTTTTATTACAATGAGTTAATGGAGTCCAAGCTTAACAAGAAGTTTCAACCTCACCACCGAAAATTTGTGTCACAGGATCAGAGCCTTCATGTGCAACATAACCTGGGAGTTTTTGGAGGTTGTGGCCTTGTTCTTTCCATCATTACTGGACTGTTCGGAATAAATGTGGATGGAATACCTGGAGCCGAAGGGTCCCCATATGCATTTGCTCTATTTTCCAGTGCCCTCTTTCTTTTAGGAATTGTGCTAATAGCTATTGGGCTGATCTATCTGGGATTGAAAAAGCCACAAACTGAAGAGAATGTTGAGGTGAGGAAATTGGAGCTTCAAGACCTTGTAAGGATGTTTCAGCATGAAGCAGAGTCTCATGCCCAAGTCAGAAAAACTACAAAGAGTGGTGAAAATTTTGTACGTCAACTGAAATAAGATGCATTTATAATAAATCTTCTCCCGGTTACTTGCTAGTTGGTCCTATAATATTATTCGACTTCTATTTGGTTAACCTGTCAGCCAAATGTAATCAATAGGTGCTGAAAAGTTTGAGTCAAAGATGTATCTCTTCTTGCGTATGATCACTCTATTTATTCGGTTTAATCTTTTTCTATGTCCGACTTCGGCTGTTGTATTAGTTGTTCTGCAGGGAGGAAATTCTGCAGATTCCTAGGCTGCCACCTTTGGAACCGAAGAAGGAAATGTGTGATAGTAAGGACGGTTCAACGGAAAAAAACTTGCCTTCAGACAATGTATTTCTTTTTGACAGGAAACTTTTTATAGATAAGATTTTGCATTTTATGAGGGGTTTTAAGCTACAGGAGATTGTGGTTCTGATTTTCTGCCCGACTCTAAACTGGGCTATACAACAGTTTGCACTTGGGCTGCATGACAAAGCTTTTGATAAAAGTTTTCGAAACGTGTGGTTGAGAAGTTGATCAAAATTATGGATCCCATGCATGAAACGTGTGGTTAAAATTGAAGTTTAACGAGTTGAAAAGATGATATATTTTTAGCAAAATTTTACCAAACAAACACTCAAATCATATCATTATAGTACAGTGCCACATAATACAAGCTAAAATCCTGAAAATTCTCAATATGATGACCAACTTTTCTGTGCCATCTGTGGATCATAAACCTATATAAACTACTTCATTGCCAATACCGTAGTTCTGAAAAGAAAGTAAATTAAACTCCTATACACAACCAGGAGGCATCTGCTTGGCATAAGAAGAATCAATGACATTAGCACATTGAGAAGTTGCAGGTCCTTCTGCTCCATTGTGAACTAATTTTTTGTCTACAAACTCGATTTTCCGACAAGGCACTCTTTTACTGCAGTCTAAATTCACTGCAACTTTTGAACTCGAAGTGCCCCAAATGTTTCTGAATGTCACATTCTTTATCTGAACTCCTGATATCGATTGACCCTATATTCAAAAACATAAACATCGTTGACAAATAGAAAGTACGTAAAGCATGATCCTATTCAGTGATGCTTACCGAACATGCCCTGAAAAAGGAAAGAAAATGAAAAGGGAATATATTCTTGCCTCGGGAGTGCAAGGGGGACGTGGGCAATATTTTTGATCAATAATAATAGGGTTGCTAACATTTTGCATTAAAATGTCCTCAAATCTTATATCAGAAGCCAAACTGTTTAAGGATGGTGACCATGTTTTAATTCTCACACCATTTCTGTTCCTGTAAATGTGCAATTTTTTATGCTTAGTCCTTGTACATAATCATTCTCATGGTCTCTGCCAAGGCTTCCAATACTGATGCCATGTCCCGGCCCAAAAAAAACGTCGAAGATGTCAATATTTTGACTGCCAGCAATCATGGCCATGCAATCGTCCCCGGTTCCAATAGTCGACTGAGAGATCTGGATTTTTTGAGAGCTACCAATATGGATGCCGTCGGTGTTGGGTCTGTCGGCTGGCGCCATTATTTTAACGTGGCTGATGTTCATGTTATTGCAATTGAAAAGGTTGAAATGAGCATTTTTGCTATTGACTGATGGTACTGTTGAGACTCGAACTTGTGACCTGACTAGTTGAATTGTGCTTCCAACAATTTATTACTAAGTCGTGTTTTCTGAATGACACTTTTATTATTAAGAGACTGGCTGGATTGTTGACACTTGGCACCTCACTTACCGTTGGATGAGATTCTAGAGTCGTCGACTCTTTATCTTCGTGAAGACGCCTCATTTGGTTGATACTCGATTGGTCTTCATTCTCTCTCATTCCTAGGGAAAAGATAAGTATCTGTAGCCTTTTGTCTTCTGTTCTTGAACAGATCTTGTAACTGCTATTGCCATATTTTTGGCTTGTTAGTGCAACCGAGCAATATCCATTATTTGGATGCTCAACGGGGGATGTAGGCGTTAGATCCAGTCGTCGAACCTCCGGGGCTTAGGCCGAAATATATCTTGTGTTCATTTTACTTTCTGCACTTTTACTTTCTGTATTTTGGTTGATTATTTGTATCTTGTTTAATATTGTGTGTGGCTTGGGCCTTTTCAGGTACATGATGGATTCTTGAATTGTTCACAAAGTCGAACCTCAATGTCTGTGAATGCAAATGAATTATTCCTGTCAAATGATACAAATAATAATGAAATAACAAGAAATGTTAGCGACAAACTTACAGCTGGTAGAGATGGACATTGCGAATTCTCTACACAATCGTTAAAACCCCAAGCAGCAGATCCTTGGCCATCCAAAGATCCACCACCTTCCACAGTTAAATCATTGAGATATTGAAAACCAATCCACGTGTTAGTGAAGAAGTTCGAACTATTGGTCGCGGCCATAAGAGTCCCTTTAATTAAAAACTCCATAGATCCCTTGCACACTCCTTGGAAGGTCACAGATCCCAGCATAAAAGTCCCAAGAGGGACTAAAACCCTACTTCTCCCACCATATTCACATGCACTTTTCCATGCTTTAAGAAATTCCTATTTAAGCAAATTCAACAATAAAACGTTGAATGCATGTTTAGTACACAATAAAATCTTGTTCATAATACCGTTCATCCCCGTCTACCATTAGTTACAAAGGTTTACCTGAGAATTATCCGTCTTTCCATCTGCAACTGCACCATAGTTCAACACATTGAAGAACTTTGGTGGTAAAGAAATACCGTTAGCTTCAGAAACACGAAAAAACAAGAACAATGTAAGAACAATTCCGAAGCCAGAACTCAATGCCATTTCTCTTAATTCTGGTGTTCTGCAAGTAGTTGTTTGAATTCGGTATATACTTAAACTAAGGTTCATATCATGTAATTATGCACATGGATTAGTTATAGAATGATTAATTCATTCTTTCATTATATATATTTTATTGATATTAATTGATCTCCCTTTTTATAGCCCGTTTGATGCAGTTTCAAGAAAGTAAAATGCTGAACTGATTGAAACATATAAATGCGTGAAACAACATTATTTTTTCCATTTAATTGCATGAATTTGATCGATTAATCTTGCTTTACATATGATCTTCTGTATATAGAAGATTTGGAGAGAAAATAATGAAAAAAAAAAGAAAGTAAATTAAGAAGAGACTTTTGATTATTCTAAAGTTGGTAAAATTGGAAAAAATTTAAACCCACCTATGATTATGCTTTTTCTACTTACTTGGTATCCGGTCTCTTTCATTCAGTATCTTTGACAAGATTCTAAAATATAACTCTAATTTAATGGTAATAAAAGAGATCTTATGAAGATAGTATAGTTCGATTTGATTCAGTTCTTACAAGAAAATGATAAAAACCGGACATGATTCGAGCTGTAGAATCATTCACATCATTTCTAGAGAGAAAATCGACAAAATATTTATCCCTTGTTTACTGGAAATTTGGGAGAAAATGAGTCTTAGAATAATGATTTTTCAAAGAATGTATGGTTAAAAAATAAGGAAAAATTTTCGATTTATTGTTTCATCGGATAATGTGGTGACATAGATTTAGTTGGACATCATGCTATAATTGATCTTCCATTTAATTACATGGAATCCTAAAAAGGAAAACTGTAAAGAGAAGGGTTATGATAATACATTCATGTTTACAAGGTTAAAAGACATGTCTTTTTATTTAAACACTTCCATGATAATCTCAAAAATAATATCATTTTGTAGTAAATATAGTCCCTGTTTGACATCAAATTAAATTTAATTAAAAAAAATTATTTTCAATCATTCATTTTAAATAATTCTCAATTTTCAACCACATATTCTATCATTTTTTATCGAAATTTAATAAAAAATCGAATTTCGTTTAGCAACTTTCAAAGTTTCTCCTTTTTCGCACTTGGATCAAATCGATGTCAGTTCATTTGAGACCTCATTAGCTTGGACCAAAAAAATCTCTTTAAAAAGATACCAATACTGTCAACAATGTCATGCTATTCGTACATAAGCCAGTCTTTTTGTTTTCATTTGCAACACAAAAAGGAAAAAGGAATTGAACCTTGGCTTGAGTAGCAGAAAGCGACATGGTCCCTCATCTCGTATTTTGTCACGCATGATTCTCTATAGTATGAATTTTGTTGATTGGAGACGATAATCACATGTCGATCTAGATCAAATGTATCATTTCAAAATTTACATAATTCGTAATTATTATTTCTTTATGAAAAAAACTTAGGATATCACTCATAAAACATCCTTATGCATGCCAACAAGGGTCACATTAATAATGGCACTCCGAAGTTTGATAAAAGTACTAGATGAGTGGACTCTTAAAGCACAACATCGATTTTGAGTTGACTCAAATATCCAGAATTCAAATCTCTCCGTAAATCATGCATAAGTAAAATGATTGTCCATTATAAATATTAGGGCTAAATCACGTGAATTGAGGAAGAATCTTGATAAATGTTAAATTTAAATACATAAATGTGCCTCATCTTTAATAGTCAGGTTATGTTGTTAAATATGATATCAGAACAGACAGAGCCACTACTATTTATTTATAAAAATTATACAATTACGTGAACTCAAATAAATAGATAAATAAACATATCTTCTCTCTAATCATTCAAATTTTTGGAAGTTCAACATCTCTCCACAAGAAAATATGACTAAAGTAGAAGTGATTGGGATACACATTCCTCGACAATCAGTTCTTTGGTGTGACAATATAATATGGGTCTAAGTTCCTTTGTTGCCAGGATAAAACACATTGAAATAGATGTCATTTTGTTTGTGCAAATGTTCTTAGCAAACCACCGAAAGTTAGGCATGTCTTCACAAAATTTTAAGTTAAAACACCTTGACAAAGACTTTGAGCTCCACTTGTTTTGAAGAACTTAGGAGTAAGCTGAAAGTGACCCAGTCTCCTTGAGCTTGAGGGCCATTTGGAAATTCGTTATTGCGGAAAGTGTATTAGTCCATATGACAATAGATACGTTCATTTGCACATTATTAATATATATGCTTTCAAACTTTAGCAACGTACATTAACTATTACCATATTCATCTACTTTACGACAACAATGTACAAGTATACGTTGCTAAAGACCTACGACAACTAATTCTGCATGTCACCAAAAGTCATTTTTCTTTTATGGTCAAATTTACAATATTCTCTGGCAACGCAGAATGATTACAAGGTTTACCCCCGCACTTTCTCTCAATCAAGAAAGCATACATATACAAGGAAAAGAATAATAAACAAAAAAAAAAAAAAAAAAAAAAAAAAAAAAGGAACAATTAATGTCAAGAAACTGAAATAAAGAAGATTTCAAATTGAACTTCCCATCTTGGTATGACAGATATATATATCTGGTCCCAAGTTTTGACAATTTTCTTAATCCCCTCCACCCCCTCTTATCCATTTCTGTTCTAGACAAAATTTTATCGAGTGTAATGTCCCCACTCCAATAACTTAAGCTTTAAACGAGGTAGTTATCAACATGGTACACGAGCAGAAGACAAATGTCCAAGTTCCCTTGCCAGACGTTTATGAAATGTAAGCATAAATGCGGCCTGCACATTTCGAGAGCGCGTTAACGATCATTAGAAATAAATAACTACATCCCTTCTCAAACAACTTAATCTTTCAGTAGAGTGGTTTAAAAGTAGTTTCATTTCCTATATTTTAACTAATTACTAGCTTAGTAATCTTCATTGAACAGTAAATACAATGCTCCATTCAGCGATCCATACTGCTTTAAATCGATCTAAGAATTCATCGTGCAAGTTTAGATACAATAAATACACAATACACTTAGAGAAAGAGAGAATTCATGTCTCCTCTTTGTCAACAAATGAGGGAAACGTGTTCTGCATAAAATTATATTCAGGAAGTTGGAGGCGCTGCTGAGGATTAACGTTATTGTAAAACACAGAATTTGGGTGGTTTTGGTTACTTGTTGGAAGCATTTGAGAAAGGATATAGTCCTGCTGAAAACTTGGGATTGCAGGCTGCAGCGAAGGTGCCAACATGGCAGTGGCCTGGCCGCGATTCATCGCGGGACTGGGATGGTTGTGCTGGCTTTCATAGGTGGTGATCACAACTGATGGATCTTGAAATGATCTTTCAATTCTTTTCTTCACAGTACACTTCTGACTGGTGCATCTATAATAACTCCTACAACAATTAATGAAGAGAGGTTTAATTCAATCAGATGACATGCTTCTCTACATTAATTTTTCTTATGTCTTTGATGAAAACTATAAGTTAATTTAACATTAAAATTTTTAGACATTCTTCAATCAACAAACTTGAAAAATAAGTTAATTTGATAATAATCAATTATTTTACATTGTACTGCAGTTGCAACAGTTATCATGTGCAGGAAATTAAATATAGATAATAACCTTGGAAAAGGGCTATTTTTCACTGCTTTCTGGCCATATTTCCTCCATCTATAACCATCTTCAAGATTATCTATATCACTCTTTGTCATGAAGGCAAAACGAGGTTCTCTTTTCTTTTTCTCCCCTTTCTGTTTTGGTTTGTTCCTGAAAAATAATTAAATAGCAATTAATTAATTAAATCACTTCTTAAAAATTGATTCAATGAACTAGAATTAATTTTGATTCAATCCCAATAATTATATTATCAGCACAAAATTTCTCAAAAACTGGAAAAAAAAAAATGACTCTGCTTGAGAAAACTAGGGTTTCATTTCACACAAACAATTGTATCAATTTCTAGATATGAAAAGAGCATATAAAATTAAGTAGAAAATATAGAAAAACATCCTACTATTATTCATCTGTTTTGCAAATAAGTGTAATTATTAGTTACTTGAAAATTTGCAAGGATAAAAAAAAGTCCACCTTGATGTCAAAAAATTCCAGAAGAAAACCCCAAAAAAAAAAAAAAACCTACACATTTTTAGACTTTTCATCTCCATCTTCACACACTTTTTTCTGCAGATCTTCATTGCTTTTGCAGGATTCCTCTTCACCTCCGACTGCAGAAGAAGACGACAACTCAGCAGAATTCGGAGTCAATGGATTTTCATTAATCCCTCCCGCTTCCTCTCCAACACTGACATTTTTCTTTGAATTACAAGTATCGTTAGCAGGATCATTAACAACATGAGATGATAAACAAGAAATGTCAAAAGCTCTTGATAGAGTGTTGTAATCCACTGTTTCCTGCAAGCAATCAGTGAAGCTCATATGAGAAGGATCAAACCCTGTTGGATTTGATCCCCAAAACCCTGATACCATATTCAGATCCTGAAAAGAATCGTTGGGTTGATAAGGATACTTGTTTTGATCGTCAGACATAGAGGAAATATTGAAGAAGATTATAGGAATGGAGAAACAATTGTTCAAGATCTTAGTTTCACCGTGTACTATAGCTAGAGATAGCTTTGGTTAGCCTTTTGGCTTAATTTCCAGAGAGAGAGAGGGTGATGACTTGAATGCTACATGCTTTGATCGATACTTGGAATACAACTTTTCTTGAACTTTTTATGGTAAGCTAGTACATGTTCGGCTAGAGACCAAAAAAATAAAAAATAAAAAATTACTTATAATTTGTTTTCTTGATTAAAAATGAAAATAATTAAGTGTTTTGATAGTAATCTTTACCTTATTGTCAAAATAAGTAACGTTTTACTTAAAGTAAGGAGAAAACTTTTCTACTGAGGACGATATTTTAAGCTTAGCCAAACATGACACTAGACTAGACATTTTCTCTCTTATTGGACAGAAGAAAACTCTACTAAGTTATTTGAGAGACATAATGTCAAGAAATAGTTCTAATTATAGTTTTGATATAATTATTAAGTTAGGTAAGAGTCCACTTAATCTTTTGATCACATACAATTGTACAATTATTAGTTTTAATAATTCAAAAGAATATCCCAAAATTAATATTTGAAACTTTAGATTGATTGAAAATGATCTTTTTATAGGTTGAATCCTTATGCCATATGTATAGAAGTCGTTTTTCGTAAAAGCTGGACAAAATCAATAAATAAGAAGCTTCGAGTTGAGGCAATCAAACAAAAATATCAAATCGATCATTTTCTGTCTAGTATTCCTTGAAATAATTCGCATTTTTGAATTAATCACAAGCGATAAGGGAAAAAAAAAGAATTGTTAAAAGAAAATATAAACAAATAAATTTCTTCGTTACTAATAATTTAATTCATGAGATCATCACAAACTTATTCACATATTGCGTCATGTCAGTATCGTCCATGTATAAAAATTTCATTGCATGTTCGATCATTTTTATTATTAGAATAATGCTTTTCATAGTCAGCAATTATGATAGTCGTTATATGTGATATCTTGTGTCATCTATCCAAACTCATTTGTTTATTTTCGTTTTACTTTTTTATTATTAAAATTATTCTCTTTTTTATTTTATTAATTATTGTAGCCAATAATATTACTTTTTTATTAGTACACTATACATAGTGGGTTGGTCAAATTAAAATGTCCCAAAAATTACGGTTTTCTTTTTGAGAGGAGAAGGCTCGCGCCCATGGGGTTATGAGTCGGGCACCGGAAAACTGACAAAGACATTACCGTGCGAAGATTCTCTACTTGCATTTGCACGTGTCAGTCCACGTTAGAACAGTTACCTCCGAATTTTATGGCGAACTTTATTTCTTAATTGCTTGACTGGTCAACGCTACTATGTAATTTTATTGTATTTGTTTTATGGCAAAATTTTTAATCTTTCGCCCTTTTGCTTCAAATTACTGTGATGAATATTGAAACACGATAAGGGAAAGGAGATTATGGCAATTAAAAAAATCGATTTGGCATGCAAATACACTACCACAATCACCCTTAAAATCGACATTTAAGATAAAAAGTGTTCAATATATCCACGCACGATGTGAAACTTAGAGATAGTCGTTACAAATTTTTAAAACCCCACCATATGACCCGAATATAAAATTGAGCCTTTCGATGTACAGTCCAAACATTTTCTTCGACCGATAAAGCTTGTTTATACGTGATTAATCTACTTATACACTTATTCTGTATACCTTGGATTACATTATCTTATGTGTTAAAAATCTAGCCATGCATTGATAAAGATATTACTCCCTCTGTCCCAATTATATAGGTTTGTTTCGTTTTTTACACGGATTAAGAAAGTTTCTTTAATTTCATTGGAAAATTAATTTTTGTCAAGATCTTTCTTAGTTTACCAATATTTAATTTTTAGTACGTAAAAACTAAATTATTGTTGAAACTAATAAAGAATTTGAAGAAGAAGAAGAAATGAGAGTTGCTCTCATGTTTCCAAGAAGTGAGAAATGTGTATATTTGGATAATTTCAAGAAATTAGCATATTAAGTGAAGAAAATTTAATAGGGGTATATTGGTAAAGGAACATAATAAAATATTGAGTCATGCTTGGAGTACAGGGGCCTGACTTACAGGCCCCTGCCAGGCATGATACATCTGGGGGGGGGGGGGGGCAATTTTTTTTTTTTACGAACTTTATTTCTTAATTGCTTGATTGGTCAACGCTACTATGTAATTTTATTGTATTTGTTTTATGGCAAAATTTTTAATCTTTCGCCCTTTTGCTTCAAATTAGTGTGATGAATATTGAAACAAGATAAAGGAAAGGAGATTATGATTTATGGCGATTAAAAAAATCAACTTGGCATGCAAATGCACTACCAAAATCACACTTAAAATCGACATTTAAGATAAAAAGTGTTCAATACATCCATGCACGATGTGAAACTTAGAGATAGTCGTTACAAATTTCTAAAACCCCGCCATATGACCCGAATATAAAATTGAGCCTTTCGATGTACAGTCCAAACATTTTCTTTGACCGATAAAGCTTGTTTATACGTGATTAATCTACTTATACACTTATTCTGTATACTTTGGATTACATTATCTTATGTGTTAAAAATCTAGCCATGCATTGATAAAGATATTACTCCCTCCGTCCCAATTATATAGGTTTGTTTCGTTTTTTACACGGATTAAGAAAGTTTCTTTAATTTCATTGGAAAATTAATTTTTGCCAAAATCTTTTCTAGTTTACCCATATTTAATTTTTAGTATGTAAAAAGTAAATTATTATTGAAACTAACAAAGAATTTGAAGAATAAGAATGAGAAATTAGAGTTGTTCATGTCTTCAAGAAGTGAGAAATGTGTGTATTTGGATGATTTCAAGATGTTGGCATATTAAGTGAGGAAAATTTAATAAGGGTATATTGGTAAATGAACACAATAAAATGTTCTATATTAGGAAACGGACCTACATATTTGGAACAAAAGAAAAAGGAAAAGCTATATAATCGGGACGGAGGGAGCATTAAAATTAATGCACCAAAATCTATCAACTCATCAAAGTGTAGATCAATGTGTAAACCTCTATATACATGTAGCGTGATCCGTTTACACAATATCCCCTAGAAACACCAAGCTTCAGAGCTCGTTTTTCCCTCTTCGACAGCTTTCTTCCTCAAAGCAGAGAGTATCCGTTTCTATTTCATTTGTTTTGCTTCTGTCGATATAGCCACCTCGCAAGACCATTTTCATAACACAGCAGTTTCCTGAACTCTAATGAAACCAACACCTGTAATAAAATTGGATAAGGAAAAGACAATTGCATACTACTAGCAATCAGCAATAGACCAGAGTAAATTTCGAGAAAATCATATCAGAAAAGTCCTCTACCAAATTAATTGGAAATACAACAGAAATTCTAGTCCTCTACCAGAAGTCCAGAAAGAATGATAAGAACCATTCACACCAGTGCAAGTGCTGTTGGAGATATTACACCGATAATGTGCATATTATATTCATCAAGAGCATGCCATTAATATGCGCGAAATCGAAATATCATTCGACTTATCGAAATCCGATTTGAGAAGACAAATTAGTGAATTACCGATTTCGAATATATGAATATGGATTCATCACTTTC